CTTTGTCCCAAGCCTCCCTGAGATAGAGCCAAGCCCTTTTCCTGGAACCCCACCACCTTTCTCAGGCCCTACAGAAGGGTCTGGCCTCAAATCCTGTGCCTCAACTTCCAGCAAGCCCCCAAATATTTGAAAAAATATCACTTGAACCAGCTCAAAGCCATAAACACTGGGGCCATAAAACACAGAAATGTCCCCAGTGCTGAGGAAGACGCCCTGGTCACATTAAAATCTTATTATAGTATGAATCACGAACAAGGGGGGTTTAAATTTTAAAATATCTATAAATTAAAGCTAAATTATTTTTATCACGACAGCTCCTAGAGCCTCATGAAAAAACCACTGCTTGGCCCTTCACCAGGGTTGCACTTTGAATTCAGCAGGATTATAGATTTCTCAGGATTGAAAAAAATAATAAAAAATAATATAATAAATAATAAAAATAATAAAGAAGGTGAAAATCTACCATCTGCCTGAAACTCTCTAAATGATGCCAGTGCCCAAGAGGAGCAGCACCATGGGGCTGTGACAAAAAAAAAAAAAAAAAGAGGAAAAAAATAGGAAAAATAGTGATTTTGAGGGCTGCCTTTGCTTTCTGCATGGATTGGGATGGGGAGTGGGTTTGGGAGCCAGGGGGGTGACATTGATCTGCTTTTCCTCGTGTCCTCCCTCATGTCCCCAACACCACACCGACCCCATGTCCATCTGTGTCCAGATTTCCCTCCTTGCTGGCCACAAACCCCTGCCTGCCACAGGAGATGGAGGAATTGTGTGGAATTGTGAGGAATTGTGTTCCGTGTTATCTGCAGCGATCTCTTAATTAGCCAGGCAATTACTGCGAGGTCTGGGAGCCCCCAGGCAGGGATGGAGCTGCAGCAGCAGGATCAGGGCTGGGCCATCCAAGGGCCAATATTATAATATGTATTTATAATAATCTGCATCCAGATTGTTATAAATACATATTATAATATTGGCCTTTCACAAATATTAAAATGGATGCTATATGTGTAATATTAAAGTAACTTTGTTGTAAAAATATAGGTTTTATTTCTGTTAGACATAGCAGTGAAATAACTGATAGAAATATATTTGTGTTAAAATTCCTGCTTGGTTGAGATAACATTCAATGGACAGATGAAGAGGACCCCAACTTCTGATATGCCAACTATCAAACTTCCCATCAGTGGAAAACAGACCAAAGCCCAAACTAAAGGTGATAACAAGAACAGGCTAAAACCACAGCCAAGAAATAAACACACTCTGAAAAGGCAGACCCAAGGAGGAGCCCTGCTAAACAGTTCTCAGAACGTGTAAACTAGTTTGGGGAAAAGTTTAATATGCATAATTGTGAATATGTAACAGGCTGATGCAATGGAAATGGTATATAAAGGATGTTTCCAAAACAGCAGGTGAATGCCAAACACCCAGCCATAAATCTTTGCTTTATTGTCTTTTTCTCCTCTTGTCCTTTATTAAACTTTTACATTTTTACAGGGGAGGGAACCTTGTTTTTCACAAGATTAAAGCTGCTCGTTGGGTGCTGGAAGTGCCAGCACACTGCCCTGGCTGGGGAGAGCCTCTCTGTGTGCACCAGGTGGAAAACAAAACCATGCTAAAAAGGCTTTTTGTTCACAGCCAGTGCAACAGCAGAGCTGCAGATCCTCCCTCCCAGAACACAGCACCTCGCCCCAAAACTAACCAGCCATGGAGGGATTTATAAAATCCAAATTTATACAATATAAAATTAATAAAATATAACGTTTTTATAGAATCTCTGCCTTGTTTCTCAGTGCTGACCCCTCAGGTGGCCCAGGGAGGCATCCCCAGGGTGAGCTGTGCCCAGATGTCACAGGGGTTGGTGACAGATGTGGGCACTGGGCACAGGCCTGGCCCTGAGGCTGTGCTGTGTTTGCCCACCCTGAGATAACAGAGGCCACAGCCCAGCCCTGTCCCTTCCTGTCCCCTCCTGGAACACCCCACAGGTGTTTTGTAGAGATCCCAGGATGTTTAAGGTTGCAAAAGAGCTCTGAGACCATCGAATGCAAGTGCTAAACCATGTCCCCAAAGTGCCACATCTACGGGATTTTTGGAGCACTTCAGGGATGGTGATTCCACCTGCACTGTTCCAGTGCCTGACAACACTTTCAGTGAGGAGATTTTCACTAATATCCAACTTAAATCTCCTCTGGCACATCTTGAGGCCGTTTCCTCTTGCCCTGACACTCCTTACCTGGCAGCAGGAGATGCTGCAGCCTCTGAGCCTCTCTTAGATTTAAACCCTGCCCAAGCTGAGAAGGAACCACACTTCCTTTTGGCTCCGTGCCTCAGTTTCCCCATCCCCACGCAATGATATCTTCCTTTGGAACAAGGTGATGGGGAAAACCCCTCCTAAAAGCGGGGACCGCGGGAGGGAGCCGGTCCCTGCCTGATGCTGTGGTTCCCAGGGCTCTCCCAGCCCGGCTCCCCTGGCTCGGGGTGAGTTTGGCAGCCAGCACGGGTCCTCTGAGCAGCTGCCGTGACAGACAGCTCCCGAGCCACCCCCCTCTGCAGCGCTGCTCTAAAATAAAAATACCTCCCGCCCGCTCCGCTCCACTCCCAGCCAAACTTCCTCCGGGGGCAAGCTGGGGGGGACGGCAGCCCAAAACCACCCCTGCCCCCCTCCCCGAGCCGCGCTCAGGGATGCTCTAGGGCAAACCGGCCGCCCCCAGACCCTCGGTGCTTGTCCCCCGTCTGTCCCCTGTCCCCCTGCTGCTGTCCCCATCGCGCTGCCAGACGCTGGATCCCCGACCCTCGCCCGCCTCCCGCCGCGGCCCCGGGGCTCAAGGTCAGTAGCGGGGAGCGGTGCGGGGCTGGGGGGGACACGATGCGGGTGGTGACACTACAGAGGTGACACTTGCTGTCACCTCTGCGTGTCCCTAGCGCCCGCCCGGGGGCCGGGAGGGAGCGGGGGGTGAGGATGATGAGAATAGTGAGGATGGTGAGGATGATGATGATGGTGAGGATGGTGCTGCCCTGCTGGGACCCCCCGAGCCTCCCTGAGCAGCTCGGAGCGATCAGAGTTAAAATCACCCGAGGGGTCCCCGCCAGCCCCCGAGGTTGGTCACCGCCTGCCGCCCGCTCCCTCGCTAAAGAGGAAAAAAAAAATAAAAAGAAGCTTTGAAAGCGTGGAAAGGAGGGGGAAAAAAGCTTTTTCCAGGCACGGCCGTGCGCGCCCTCCCGCCGCAGGGGCACCGCAGAGCGGGGGCAGCGCCCGCCCGCAGCGGCCCCGCACCGGGAGGGAGGGACCGACAGCGGGGGCACCCCCGAAATTCCTCCTCGAGGAACCCGAAATTCCCCCCGTATGAACCCCAAATTCCTCCCGGATAAACCCAAAATTCCGCCCGGGATGAACCCCAAATTATCCCCGGGAAGGACCCGAAATTATCCCCGGGATGATCCCGAAATTTCGCCCTGGATGAACCCGAAATTCCCCCCGGGAAACGCGTTTGGTGCACGCCGGGGGGAGATGGGGTCACCCCGCATCGCTGCCAAGGACCTCCCCCAACCCCGCTTAAAAACCCCGGCGACCGAACATAAAATAAACGCTTAAAATGAAAACGATAACTTTAATATTATTTTAATTTTAACATTATTTTAATTTTAATATTATTTCAATCTTAACATCATTTTAATTTTAATATTATTTTCATTTTAATATGGAGTGATTTTAATAACCTCAGAAGCTTTTGCAAAGCGGATGCCAGAGCAGACAGAGGGTGATCGGGCGCCGTTTGCGCCTTAATCCCTTGAGGGCTCTCAGGGATGGTGGCAGGGGGGTGCCAGCACCGGGGGTGTCCCTGTCCCCTTTTCCTGTCCCCTCTCCCTGTCCCATTGTCCCCCGCATCGCCCCTGCTCCTGTTTGGGCACCTGCCGGACACTCCGCCGGGGAGGCAAGGCACGTCGTGCCGAGGTTAATTAACCTCGGAGGAGTAATTAGCCCCAGGGCTAATTGCTGCTGATGCCGTCTGCGGGCTCCTCAAGGCTCCTGGCAGGGGAAATTTGGGATCACGGGGATTTGGGAGAGCCGGAGGTTGGGCGAGGTGAGCAGGGGATGGAGAAACCTATCAC